TGTTTAGATGTTTCCCTGATTTGACACAACTGGTTTGAATGAACGAGTGATTAACAATCTTCTGAAGACCTGCTGAATAGCAGGGAAACAAGTAAAATATGCTGGATAGAGGTCCTTGAGGACCAGGGTTGGGAACCACCGACCTGAACCATATTTTAATACCCCGTTACATCTTGCCTGTGACATTCCCAGACTGAAAACAGTGAATGCTTGGACACCACCACCATAACGGACAGGTTTTTGACAGGGTTCCAACATAAACATGAAGAAGCAAGGATTAAAAGTGCCATTTTTGCTCAACAAACCTTATTTTTTTTCCTCCTCTCAGGAAGTTTTTCATGTTTTTAGGCCCGTTTTGCATTATTATAACCCAAAGGGGGGCCTGGCAGAAAAAGTATGGACCCACTGAGCTAATGCAAATGCYAATGCAAATTTAGAAACTTTTACACTGTTGTTGGTTTCGTGTTACACAGGTATGTTGACAGAAATATTATGTTGCTGTCATTATTTGTGCTTATAACTAGGGTTGCAYGGTATCAGGAAAACCTGCTATGTGCAGGAACAGTGCTTTTATATTGCAATAATGAATAATAATCACTGACGAATWATTCTGTGGAAGCCACATCTCAATTCAATAGGCTGTAATGTGGTTACAAAATGATTTTTTCACTTTAAATCCTAAATTTGAAATAAGTTTAACATAAAAAACAGATTTAAATTTACTCACTTTGCTGCACTGACAAGAACGCTACGCAGCATGTTGTTTCTCACAGTGTGTTTTGACAGGTGAGATTACGCTGGTGATTTGCAAATAGGTTGACCGAAAGTTGACCGAAGGTTCACTGAAAGTCTCTGTTCAGTAGCAGCTGATTGAAACGACAGAGGTATTGTAGCTGCAGGCAACTGTATGTCACTCGCTCTGCTACAGCCTGGACAGAGAAGTAAACACCTGGAGCCAGAGTTAATGTGGTTTAATTGTTTAGTTATATCTTCATTTACAGATTATTTATTTATTTTTTTACCACTGGTGATGAGATCATGTCAGCCATTTTCTTTCTGTTCCTCTTTCAGACTATTACCAGAAGTATTTCTATTTTACCCTGTTTATTTTTATTCTTTTTTTCCAATGAAGTCTATTAATGTCTGTCAAAATGTGTCCCATCATTTAGAAACTGTCTTGTTTTTGTTGCCAGGTAGTTTGAGTACTATAGAGCCAGCAGTGATACATACATATCTGGTGGTGCATTCATGTGTCTTACATTTTGATCAAAATTAGGTCTTGATGTATTTCTTAACTTTATGTCAAAGTAGATTTTTTTTCTCTGTACTGAAACAATGTTTTGATATCTAACTGAATAATAATAAGGCTCTGAAAACAAGAATTAAATTATAACCATTTCTTATGAGAAAATTATTATATGAAAAGTTAGCTTTAAAGGTATACTGTATCATGCTTTTAAATCCTTCTTTTTCACATCTAAATCATTCACT